ATACCTTGCTACGAACAATAAATTCACAGAAGTAAAGGCTGCGTCTCATGCATCCGTTTATATGATGATACGATGATACGAAAGTGTTTCTATTGATTGGAGATCTGCGAATTCTTCCGCCAACCATTAGAAAGACTTTCGTATCATCGTACCATCGCATAAGCGGATGCATGGGACACAGGCTTTACAATCATATTGTAATTCATAAATCGATATTCCCGCTTATTTTTAATTTAGGGACCGAAACACCTGGCAGAGAGCGCGCATAAGCGATCACGGTCGTTTGCATGGAGTTGTCACTTCTGGTTCAGAGGTGTTCTGTGGTGTTGGGTATTGCCGTCTCGAATAGGAATCGCGCAGCGGAAAGCAAAAAAATACAGTCCACTTTTTCTACACGCCGACAATTTTGTTATCATGTTATGGTTTAAAATATCTATAACCAAGTTTGCAATGGTTGACGATATGCCTGAACACATTGCTTCATCATATATTTGTAAACAAAACTGGTTTTCGAATTGAAAGTATGTGGATTTTAAGCACGATTTTATGGCCTTGATAAATTCTTCTGCAATTGTTGTATGGCGTTTGAATATATTTAATTTTACTTTTTTATAAAGTCTATTGCATAAAAAGTTGTATAGTCTGTAAGTATATTTGCATATAACAAAACTTTTGTTTTTTATTTTAATAGAACCATAAATATTCCACGAAAGAATGATGTAAAATTCTGATTTTCTTAGTAAATCTTTTAGAATGTTGAGTAACTATTTAGATAATTTAGATAACACAAACAAATCAGAACTGTTCGATACTTCAAAAATCAACATTTTTATGAACCTTCATAAAATAGAAGATTTAACATAATATTGTACAGAATGCCAACGCCAAAATTAAAACTAATAATGATAATATCGTTACCGCAAATATATCGCATAAATGACAACAAAAACATTAAAAATTATAAAACCATGTTTTATTATTATGGGACATGAAAACTACAAACAACTTAATTAATGACTACCAAATCTCTTTGATACTACTGGCTTTTTGAGTCAAAAGCGGCAAAGAAAAAACATTATTTTACTTGCCGTTTCGGCTATTTTTAGTCATCCCCAGGACATAAACATTTATTGTTTGTTACAGAATATCTTTTACCAAATAATACCACGGCCACTATCAAATTCCAACAARTTTGAGTAATGTTTATCAAACTTTAATTTAAAATTTACAAGAAACGGTAAAATAAATTTATATTATTACTATTTATTATTAATTAACTTATGACAGTACATATTTAAAATAATTGATATAAAACCAGGAATATTAAACCGAGAAACCTGGATCACGAGATTATTGAAAGAACGGGATATTGATTTGCCAAAAATTAATGTTAGCAGTTGCTTAATTTTTCGACAAAATTCGACGGAATTTTAATCCCTTTGAATAATATCGGAAAAAATGTTCGCATCATTGTAAAACATAGCGTACATCGTACACAAGATAAAAGCATTTAAAATGAAAAAACAAAACTATAAATTTCACTTACCAATACGTGATTGATGTAATTGGGAAATATTAATTTGCGGGCGTAGATCAGCAGCACTTCTTAGTGGTTCTGACTCTTGATTGGTATTGGCAAGCTGAAGTGGTTTAGACATAAAACCTCCTCTGACCTGCAAAGGATTGTGTGAAACTATGTTTCACAGCTGTTTCCAAATGATTACATGTAAATTATAGAACTGCACCTACCTTAAAATACACTTCCACGCCATAAATTAAAAAGAAGATAACCACTATGAACATAAGCACGGCATAGCATCCATTGAACAAGTGATTATAAAATCCTGGATCATCGACTGGTGGCTTTGCAAGTTGGGTTGTTATAAACTCGGCAAAAAGTAGTCCGTAAGATATTATGTTAAACGTAATAAAGCCCAAGAATGACTTTGATATAAATTGGGGCTTCTCATAACGAATTCCTTGAAGATGGAAAACCTAAAAAATATAGTAATGTTATGGGGCACAATTTTCAGTCGCATTTAATCTTGATAATAACAAATAAAAATCGAAATAATTTTCAACCAAAAAARAACTATTTGAAYATGAYYAMGTCAGGAAGATTCTTACAACTAAGTATASACATTACAATTATGATTTMAWTATTGCGTTAGTTAAAGGGATTAYWTTRGTGCAAAGAARACTTTTTAGTTCTTGCAAGGATTCTGCAAATAAAAGCTTTTCCAGAATGGTCAGTCAGGTCAATGTCGCGAGRCTCAATAAAATGYGATTTTTTTTCAATATCTTTTACACCAKATAAAAAATGGGKAAGAAACATTTTGAAAACTAAGTTTTATTCAGATTTTCTTCGAATCATTTATTTATAATTTTCCGAAATTACTTTTCGAAACGGCATTTTGTTAAGCACGAAACCTCGCTTACTTAATTMTAATTGATTCTRTGTAGCTCTTATTCTTCCAAAATCATTATAATTGACTCAGCGCCAAYTAACTAGWTCMAACTWGTRGGTACTTAAAGCATTTYATATTACTGYACCRRCAMTWTTTTTTAATACATACATTATATGAACACAACTGACTATTTATTCACTTCAATTCTTGTATYTGTATCAGTAGKTAGATGGATTAATTATGTTACAGAAWWTTTWTTAAAKGATTTYATAATAMTAAAATCAACTTTTTACCCTTTCTWTRAAACCGTATTAACCGCAAATGCTTAAATTCCTTAACGACACACTTACACGATTGTTATTTTTCGAGTTACATGATTAGAAATTAAACAATAAGCCACTTGGAAAATAAAACTTTGATTTTTTCTTACTGAGACAATCACAAACAATAGCACATTGTTTAGCTTTGAAATAAGTGCATTTATGCGACCTCATTAAAACTTATCAGTCATTGTTTTCACATTAATCATTTTTACCAGAATATGGACGTTTAATCTTGGTATCGATTAATTATAAGCTATTGCAGCAGCATACAAGTAAATATGTTTTTTTAAATCAATCCCGTTGATGGAATTATAAAAATACATATATATTTTCTTCGAACCGAAGGGATTTTTTTATATGAAAATTCGACAAGACCCGTACATTTTATTTATAAGGGGGCTTTGAATGAATATAATAAAATAAATAAATATGAATTTAAATATATTTTAAATCATAAATACAAATATTTATTTAGAGTGTCCCCCTTACAAATAAAATGGACTGGTCTTTCCGATTTTTTATATTTTCAACTGCAAGAAAGATATTAAGGGTGGGAAGTTTTCAAATTGACACCCTGTACATGTATTTATTTATTTATTGATAAATAAGTTAAGGTCATTGAAACCTTAAATTATGTCACAATGTTGATGGGGAATAATGTAAAAACTCGGTTTCTATTAGTTTTTTTTATGGAAAAGAGTTAAAAATGACTAAGCATCCAGGCAATTTTTTTAAACAAATATCTCAGTTTACAGCGTATTTATGGTTAGTTTTTAAATTATGCTCTTCAAAACCTAGAACGTATAATGTCGAACATGGATAAAGTTTACCTTCCTTGGGGAAGGTAAGTTCAAATCTTATCCATGGCAAACGCACGAAATACGCAACGTTTTGTATGTACGTACAATCGTATTGGCTTTTTAGAGAAAGTAAAATGTTTTCATCAATTTATTGAACTGAACACATGCTAAAAGCACCACTAATGATTAGCAACGATTAGATCGATCGGTACTGTTTGTCCGCGGACTTTATAAGATACATAATATTATACCTAATTTTATGGATATATTTGATAGATCGTCAATTACTTGATATAAACATCCACATTTTAGCATCTTGTCGTATTCTTAATTTCATTTGATACTTAATCGTTAAATGAAAGTTTTTTCCATAATACATTCTGTAAAAATGCATCTTATTCTAAAATAAACTGAAATCGCATTATGAAAAAAACATGTGACAGTAATTGCAAGGAACAGGTATTTAATTAATATGCCGATCTAATAACTTACCCCTTAATAGTGTATTTATGTTTTGCCACAAACCAAACACAATCTCAAATGATTGTATATAATGGCAAATGATAGTGCAATGTCGATAATACAACCTTGCTAATCATTTGTTTACTATAAGCTCATAGTCTTCTTTTGGTAAATGGCAATATTAACTTTGATTCAGATCTTAATATGGCATCAATAAGTAATTAACGCATATGCTTAATGTTTTCATTACTTAATTTAGAATGCATTTTCATTTATTAAATTAACCCGGCAGTAGAGTTACGCATGTGGGTTCATGTCTAGGTCGAAGTGCTAATGAGGCGAGAGGGCCACTTACCGGCCTCTCAACGACTACGACTACTATATCATTTACATTAGTAGTCGTTGATCTATCTGTATTCAAATCAAATTCACTAAGCGGTACCTTCCATTCCTTCGGCGGATAGGACGAAAATCACAGATCTTTTTTTATCTCCAGAACAGTATCTTCGAATTACAATATGAATATTAATGATTGCTTTGATCTTGAATCAGACCATTCAGAAGTAGTTGACTATGAGTGAAAAAATAATTAAAAGGGAGGCCCCACACAACAACGGATTGGAGGAGCTTCCAAGCTGACCTACAAGAGGAAATCACGTTGATCGTAATCTTGAAAACAGCCGAATGACTCGACATAGAAACCCAAAAATTTACGACTCTGCTACAAACAGTTGCTCACAAAAACACCAAAGAAATTGCTCAAATCACGAAAGCTGTAAACTATCCGGATAAAATTCGGATTTTACTCAAAGCAAGAAGATGGCAACAAACACATTCATTCTAGCGATAAGGCATTATTAAATAGACAAACTCAAAAGCTAAAACGTGAAATTTTCAGATTCAGAATTCTCTCAATTCCTTTACTTCCACATTTACCAGCAGAAACGAAACTGAATATTTCTTGTGGCGGTTATTGGTAAGTTGGATTTCGATCAAACCACTGTACAATTCATCAAGAGCATCGAATATCTGATGAAATAGAAAAATCACTAGAAGTAAGTAAAGAAGGTCTGTTCAGCAATATTCCTCGACGTAGCGTAAGCATTCGACAAGGTATGACATGAAGGTCTAGTCTATAAACTCAGTTAAATGCTACTCCAACCAAACGTGAAATTTCTCACTTTATATATCACTATAGACTTCAGAATCAAGCAAAAATGAAGTCCAAGTTTAAAGAGTTGAAAAATAGTTTAAATTGCGCAATACAGATAGCTAATTGGCAGGCAGTCCAAAATGACTGCACAAGAAACTTTTAATATACAAACAAATTACTAAACCTACGGAAGTTCACTACAGCACAGTTTGCGTGTAAATATCGACTATCAAAAAGCTTTAGAAAGTCGATGTACTGACTTATTTAAGTACCCTAATTTTAAGATAGTAGATAAATACTGATGGTTGTAGTAATGTGGTTTAGTAATTCAAAATCAACTAAAAAAAATAGGCAGCATAAGTGAATGTGTGATGTTTGCTTTCTGTTTGGAAAGCAAAGTAGCATTTGATATTTGATTAATTCATGCTATTTTAAGCACAGTTTTTCTTCAATTGAACTTGAGCAATAGCTGAATCCAACAATAAAAAGAGTGTAATTTCCCAACTGATATCAAAATGCTCTGCCTCTTATGAAAATTACTTAATGTACCTAATAATAACTTGAAATGAAATATCAAATATCAACAGTTTCATGTTTTTAAATTAAGTACCGTTGAATACTAAAAGCCGAATTAGCGCTCTGTCCACCAAACATATGCAAACAAAATGCGTAAGTTAATCGCACGCATAAGTTAATCGCAGTTAACGGATGTGATGTGTTAAAACAAGTGAATTACAGGCTATAGAAACATATTACATAATAACTCTATTTCATGCGGAACAAATTTATCATTGTATAATTTATCTATATATTTATCGCCTGGCACAATGTCACCTTTTTTATTAGTTTTATACCAAGCTTGCAGTGTGCTCACGAATACATTTAGCAAAATAAATAAATTTGTATTATAGATTGATTGCAAAATATCTTTATAAAAACAATGCGATTGTCTCAAAATTTAAATTGGCATATAAAAAGGTAGCAAATAATGCATGTATCTATATCTATATTACCAACTTAGAGTTTGGAGATAAACCGGCCGCCGAAAAAGGCTCATACAGCCGTTGCAGTTGCTCCATATCGCGGTGGAACACAAATGTTTTGTGGGGGTATTATGTTTAATAGAAGGATCCCATTTATTCACATATCGGGGTCGATGACAGGTGCATATTACCTTGCAAATGTTCTTATTCATAGAATTATACCCCTACGTGATGAATTATTACTTTCCTGACTGTGTTTCAATTCCAAATCAAATTCATTCCTGGGTTTCAGTAGAAAATGCATGCCAAGGCTTAAAGCAGCAACAACGCTACACATAAAAACTGATGATGGTGGAAAAATACACCGAAAAGTATTTTGATTGATAAATACACCCCACCCAACTACTATACGAACGCACAAACATGACAAAGATCTCGGAAAGACTCATACAGCTACAGACAAAATGGACAAACAACCCCTACAACTGGACCATACTGAATCCCCTTTGTCTTACAAGACCAACCAGACAATCCCGCTTCCGTTTCCCTACATTAACGCTACTCGAACACTTACAAACGCAACGGACTAGTGGACAATAAAATAATTTCTTCTTGCCACTGAAATCTTATTTATTTAATAACATTGTTAACCTAGAATGGGAGAATTTTCATATTTGTTTTTTATTTAGATTGGGACTGCATGTATTAAACAAGGGCAGAAATACCGATAGGTCGATAGCCTTTTTTAGAAATAAAGATGTTTACTACTACTACTAGAGACAATAAATGACTGAAACCCAGGAATGAATTTTATTTGGAATTAATTATGTTGTTGGTTAGAAATTGCATTTTTCTCTTTTTAAAATTTTTGCATCCGGAGTGTAATTTTCTTTTTATAACTGATAATTCGTTGAAATTAAATTAATTTTGCCGTTTTTTAGAAGCTTTTAATATAGATTTAACACCGGGGTCTGCAAGGTTTCACAAATTTTTTAAATATCCAAATAACTAAGGGGGTGCAAGACTTTTGAAAGCGAGTGTATTTAAGTGCATTCTGAAAATTGTTAGTGCCGTTCAATTTCTAAGCGATTATTAGGTTTTCTTTAGTTTTTTACTATAATACTTACTTAATTAGTATGTGTATTTGCTATAATATAAATTTAACATTAAAATATCAATAAAACTCGTGGTGTGTGTATCGTTATTTACTCACATACACTTTCTCCACATGATGTCAAACTTATGGCATTCCTAATTTGAACAGTTGGATACTTATAGCCGAGCAAATTCCGGAAAAATATGGTTCATATTAAATAGACTTAATCCTTACAACAATCATGTTTTTAAAAACGTTCCATAAAATAATATTACATTTCTAGATGCAAATGGGCGTAATTAGTTCAAAGATCATGATTTCAGATGTGCGAAACTGCGCAATTCTCACTTAAGTTTCTCTCAAACTCTCACTTTAGTAGTGCTACAGCGTGCTATATCTGAATATCGCTATATATTCTTTGATGGATATAATGCGGCTATAATGTTAACTATAACGAGTTTGTGTTTTTTTACGTTATATATTTAAAAACGATTCTTTAGTTGAAAATGGTTAACACATATCTATAAAGATAGCAAAAGAAGCCATCCCTTTCTAAATGTTTAAATATTTGCATACAAGGGATGCCCCATCGTTGAGAAATTCATGTATATCATAAGAAATGCGTTATAATACTCATTTCGTATTCGCATGAAATTGATGCATATAAAATAATAAAAAAACGCTTGTATTTATTTTGGTTAACTACTGATAGAAGCATTTCTTCCATCTTAGTTTGTACCTCCGTTAGTCAACTTTTTCCCAGTTCAATTCCGATTACAAGTATAAACATTCAACATGGTTTACACGATAACCGAAAGACTCAAGAATGTTCGCTTTTATTTAAAAGTGTTTGCTAAAAAATAATAAATAGCGCCAAATTATATTAAAAAAATACATACCTCGGCCCAGAAACATACTATCAAAGAGGCGCTGGACATTAGAAGAGGATAGTAAGAAGACAGCAAACTACTGGACCACCCATATTGGAACGATTCCTGAAAAAAAAACATGATTACATAATTACTAAAAGATCCAATGTTTCACTGAACTGAGTGAGCGTCCATCACAATATAATAAAATTTTACAGTGCACGTTAATAATACCACCTAAAGTAATAACCAGCAAGAAAAATTTTCCGTAAAGAGTTTTTCTATTAAATTGGCATATTGTTAATTTCGATCGCCACGGGCGGATAAAATGATCAAGACGAGAAAAAAGAGTGCATGTGACTATGATGCTTAACGAACGTTATCGAACGTTTAATACACAATAACATATTTTCAATAAAATTAATACGCATTCCATAAATTCGTATGTTTCTTCGTAAAAGGATATGTGAAGGAAATAGTTACATTCACCCATAATGTTACCCAAACAAGCAATGATTAGTATACATCTTAACATACAGAGTGGCTCCCGGTTGATAGCACCTTAAAATATATTATATACAGAGCGTCTCATTTGAAATAGAAAAGTTGATACTACTATTTGGTAAAAGCGACAATTCGCAAAGAGGGCAATTATTCAGAATAATCCAAGTATTCCCTTTATGCCAATATGCCTTAGTTCTCCACCACCCGTGAGCCACCCTGTATATAACACATATTTTATTATAAACATACAGGGTGTCCCGTAAGCACATGATCAAAAGGGTACTGCGATATTCTTTGAATAAAAAAAAACGATCTGACCTAATTTTTATTAACAAAAAAGTCTGGCTGGGATCTTACGTAAGATTCATAGTTTGATGAAACAATCGAGTTCAGCACTGGTTTTGGACGAGTGGTGTATTCTTGAGTGTAAAACTACCAGAACTTTTTATTTGCTGGATRGAATCAKCTCATTTTTTTTTGGTTGATGCACTAATCATTTGTTCACAATTTTGTGCTCTTCGTAAAATCTTGTAGCATTCATAGTTTTTGCTCAAAAAAAAATGTCTGTTTTCTAGCCACTTAACAATGCTAGGCATTTACTGCAAATAAGCGCCGCGTAAACGCGTACGCTTTCACGCAAGTTSTCTTCGCMAAACCCTAATACTTTGACCWTGTCGGTCACTTCTTCATTAGAAAAGGTTATTCGAAACGAATTTGTGAGATTGATTGACTATTAATTTATGMCTCGTATCACGATATTTGCAGTTAATGTCTAACATTGTTAAGTGGAAAAACTATGAATGCTACAAGATTTTACAAAGAGCACAAAATTGTAATCWAATAATTAGTGCATCAACCAAAAAAATGGGTTTGATTTCATCCACCAAAAAAAAAAGTTCTGKTAKTTTTKGWACCACGACCCTCAAGATTTCTCCASTTGTCCAAAACGGATGAACTCGATTGTTTCATCAAAATATGAGTYTTAGAKCAGAACAAATTCACAGCGAGTTTCACTAAAATACATCGTACCATTCTCCCGATATTTTGAAATACATAATTAACAAATAATTTTTTTAAAGAAYTTTTACCATCAATARCAGAAGAGCCAGACAGTTWTTGTTAATAAAAGTTAGGTCAGATCGTCTTCCTTTGGCGCAAAGAATATCGCAGTATCCTCTTGATCATGTGCTTACGGGACACCCTGTATAGAATATGTAAAAAAACTGGTCTTCATGCATGAGTGACAAAAGCGGACTATTTTTAACTAATTGCCATTAAATAAATATTTTCTGCTTAGAAGTAATGAGTTAATGCAGAACAAATCCATGAAAAACGCTGCAAGTGGCCAGCCTTGACTCAAACATACAATCTGCTGTTTCCAATTATAAATAGTTAATCAGTGGGGATAATTTAAAAACCAACAGTCCGCCACACTAACAACTAATCTATGATTCAAGGCAATTGTGTAGAGTGCACATGCACTAACAATGAACTTTACGCGCGTTTGAGATAAGAAACAAACGCATTTGATAACATGAATCGTTTCGAGAATATAGGCTACCGAATTTACTGGAACAAACAATTTAATAAAAAATTGGAATTTTTAAATCTATAACGCTGGCCCAAATTGCTTGCAGCCACTTAGGCTTTCAGTTGAAGTTTGCTGATACCATTTTATTGAAGACATGCATATGAAAAATGTATGTCAGCCAACGTACAAACAAGTGCTATTTTCAATTACTTGGTTTAATTTGCACCGATAATATAGTAAAAATCTAGAAAAAGTAAACAAATAATATCGTTTCGACATTTCGATCGTTTGAAATTGCTTTGTCCGCTTTTTCCGAACTGATTACTTAATTTAATTGGCTGTAGATTTAATAATGTACCTACTTCGATACAAACGTGAATACTCACAGGAAATATAAAATAAGCTCCTCTTAGCAAACTTGCAAAGCAAATAACCAAGTATATTAGCTTCTGAGTTGTAATCTTGCAGGCCTTCAAAGTTGTTGGGGCTTTTAGTCGTTGATATTCTGAGATACAGCACATTATAAGTTGTATAGCGCAGACTATGCCTAAAGAAGCGAAAAATATGTGAAAAATAGAGAAAAATGTGTTAACTTATAAAACTACACACCAATAAAGAAAAAGACTCCTCCAATTCCTGCATGATAAGGTAAGTTGGGGTCGTCACATAATTCTCCTGTAAACCTTATGTTGCACATACAGGTTCCATTCCAACATTCCCCTCGCCCAGAACAGTCTCTACTACAGCTAGAGCTTAGTCCAGACATGTAAAGTAAATGCCGAAACATCACTTAAATGGTCCTGAAGACTATAAATAAAGGTAATTTAAATAGATCAAAGGATGACATGTAGTCATCTTATTTAAAAATTGCACATTACCTGTAGTCCAGTCCGGAGTGGTTAATATCAAGCAAGCACTCTCCAGATAACAACGGAATTATAGAAAGCACTTGACAAACTATGAACTTTTATCCAATTCACAAAACACAATACAAAACAACAACATTGCCAATGTAACATTTGACATTTGCCACCATTTTAGTTCTTTGTTGTAAAATGACACATGACAGTCCTGACTGACAGAAGTCAAAATAGACTTGTGACCAGGGGTGGCCATACGTACGGTAATTACCGTACATGTACGGCAATTTGGGCAATTGTACGGTGTAGGTCCCGAACGCGTTACCGTACGCCAATTGTACGATATTTCCAATAAAAATCAATTTAAATGCAAGAAGTGCTATACTTTTCCTCGTTTCTGTGCGTAATAGATTTTTCTCTCAGCCATATAATTTAGGTATTGACGACAGATATATTATATTCTTGTTGATAACATTTCAAACGACAAACCATTATAGTATTGCTTGTATCAGTATTCGAATATGGAGTCTACAGAGTTTTTTTATTTTTAAGGTATGGAGTTAATTCGAAGTTGGTAAATTTTATGGCTTCAAATGAGAATCAACCCTGGACCACAAAATATCCCCCCCAGGGGGTATGTTCTGTGCCCTGGACAGAGGAGGCAACGATTGAACTATATCCACTTTTTGGAAAACTTAAAAAACATGGTTCAGACATACAAATTATTGAAAAACATGTTGGACATATTTTTTGAGCACCTCAATCTTTTTGACATTATAGGAACAAAACAATTAGTAGTATGTACTTACAAAAGTATATTTAATACTTTCCCTTAAGGCATATGTGGATATCCTTCCTCTTCCAACTAATCTAATTTATTTAAAAGCATCGCTTTAAATTCGCTGTTGCTTTTCAACTTTGCTCCATCCTATCCATTTTTTGCTTGTTCCTTATTTTCTCCTGTTCCTTTCATCTGCACTGACCCAGCTGGGCAATAGAGATGTTTGAAGTCGGCTCTTCGGGTGCCTAGCTGGTTGTTCATCGTTTTTCTTTTCAAATGTTCCTCCTAAAATCTGTCTCTCATTTTTGGGCGGTGGAGCGCTTAGTGCCACCGTAATTACGTATTCGTCTATATCCATTTGATCTGTGTGCTTTAAGGCCACTTTTGCTTGTTGTTCACTTTCAAATTCGATATATGCTAATCCCTAACAGATAAAAAATAACATTTTCAAATTGGCCAAACTATAAGAGTTCATTTTTCGTTCTGTTGCATTTTTTACAGTTTTCTCTACTCACATTGATTTCAGAAGAGCGATTTTTTTTAAATTAAAACGGGATGTTTATGGCAAAAATCTTCATCTTTTACCTATATCCCTAATACCTTTTTATATTAACCCGAGATGTTTTAGGGGATTTAAAAAATTTAAACAACATGTAACGTTAAATGATGTAAATATCGCTTAATATCAACGGCAAAAATATAATTATTTACCTTTGGTTGTCCACTCTTATGCAGGACTGGACGTACATCTTAAGCACCATGGTTCTGGAATATTTCCTGGATTTCCTCTTTCGATTTCTTAATAGGCAATCCAGGCACAAACAGTTTATTCTTCTCTTCGTTGGTGGCATGTTTAAATATGGGTTTCCTTTCAGTTCTACTAGCTTTGATTTCAGACATGAATATCGGACGTCCATCCAGCGGATCCCTATCCCGAGCCAAGGCCACTATGACTTGGAAAAGCTACCATTAAGACATCTTTCGGTGGCACTTAAATCAATTACTTCTTATTCAGTTTTGAATTCGATCATAGAATAAGGCCTATAATTCGACATAGCCGAAACACCTGGATTTTCCTTTGCGATCCGTTGCTGTTTATAGCTGCAGCGTTTAAAAAAATTGTCTTGTTTTTCCTCACTCACACCCAGGTAATATGTTGCTCACAAAGAGTGGTTTTTTGGTTTTTCTCTACTAGAGGTTTGGGTTTTAATAGTTCCTCAGGCTTCTCTTGAGGTTTTGGCTTATCTTTTACACCATCCTTTTTCATTCGTTTCGTTTCAGTGTCATCGTTACGTATTTTTTGTTTGATGCCTTTATGCATTTTACGTCGTTTCGGCACGACTCGTTATGACCGGAAACAAAATTTGAAGTTTCTAAAACAGCAGCAAGTTGGAAAACGTCTAACGTGCATGGTCTACGTAAATCTCCCTATATATAACCCTCATAACTTGTATCATTTGCATTATCATGTTTATATATAAATCTTATGTACAGGGCTTTACCCTTTTTTTACTCTTACAACTACAAGGTTCATAAATAATATTCGCTAAAAATTGTTGATTTTTTTAATAATTAATAAATAATCAGTGACGCCCAAGTCAACATTGTAAGATGACTTTAGAGGTGTCAAATTGACGTGAGTGAACGTCAGCTCGCTGCCTGGGATTATTTCAGAATTTGCATTAAAAAGGCAAAGAAAAGTATATTTAAATTTGGCTGATTGATATAAATACATTAACAAGTATTTCGTTCTCTTGTAAATTTAAAAAGCAATTTTAATTTACAATATTTTCTATAATTAATTGTTTAATTTAAGGAAAATTTGACTCAGATAAATTCTAATTAATTCGTCGGTCAATGAAATCTTGAGATCAAAAACTAATAATTTCAACATGCATAATACATACATGGCGATAAAAATTTGCCTAAACCTATTCCAATGCAGATGGCTTGAGCAAGCGCACTATGCGTGGCTTCATCGGCAAGTAATATAAAGTTATTTACTAAGTCGGGAAAATGTCATACATACATACATATTTTTCATCAATATATATAGTAAACTAGTGGACAAATATTGAAAAATTAATTGAAAATAAGAGTACAAATCTGTATGCAGGTTCCTTCTATGTCAACGAAGAAATGTGCGGCGATGCCGGTGGCGCATTACTACCAGCTAACTTCAGTATGATAGAAAACAGTTTGTCGACATTTGAGAAATGTTCGCGTCCCTGTTTTTCTAAACGAGGTAATGTTGTTATTTTAGGAAATATTCATTCAGGAGTTAGGAAAAGTGTTCGATTTTTTAATGCAAAACTCGCGTGGACTGAATACATATTTTAGCGTACCTATTTGTGGCTTATTCGACTTGTCCTACCTCAACGTTTTCAAGCACTGTTACGTTTGATGCTCAGGTAAATGCTTTTAGGCGTTTTACCTATTTTTAACTGATATATAGGGGATCGCTTTTGATATTTCGATTCAACTTCAATGTTTCATTGGTAACTGCTGTTATCTTAAGTTATTCCGCAGTTTATTAACCTTTTTGTTGACAAATTATTTCTGCATGTTTTGACATTTCCTGCAGGGAAGGATTTTCGCTTTAAATAAATTTTTTATTTGCACATTTCAGATTATTTATTCATTGTTGAGCTTCTAATTACCTTACGTTACTCCCATCTAATTAGGGTCTGTGTAGCTGAGATTCTAGTCTATAAGCTAAGGTGCTATAAACACCCTACAACTGATAATACCTACCATGTTTAGTCCTTCGTGAGATTCACAGGATTATAAAACAATATATACTTATGCCCATACATAGAAAAGTTATACCGAAGCATCCAAAACATTTTTAAATAAACTAAGGCTTATGTAGCTATTAATGGTTAGGTTTAGGGGTGATTAGGCTAGTGCCGATACGAATGATTCATATATGTACTTAATAAAAAAAATTAATAAGAGGCATGGAGCTGGCGGACAATGTTGTTGAGGTTCCAACTTTAAGAAAAAAATAATAATTTAAAACATGGAAACGGTTTTTTGCTGTTTGCAGCTATACGTGACCTAGCGGAAAATGTTCAATGGCAGAGTTGTAGATAATAAACAAGTTTAAAACTTTTACATTTAACACTTTTCTTCCACGAACAATTGTCTTGATATTTTTATTTTTATTATGTTATTTATTTAACATTTTCAAGATTTTTTGCGCCACTTACTGGAATAAAATTATTTAAACTGTAATAATCTTACATGAAAGCAACTAATATTTTGAAAATAGAGTCCACTGTTAACAGAAATAATGAAGAAAATTGAATGTCATTGAAAATATTGAGCAAATCATGATTCTTCAGAGATAATTTTCAGTTTTTGCAATTTTCAGCGGTTTATCAATAAATAAACCACTCAGTCATATGGATAATTTTAAAGTAGACGTTACAACAACCAAAATTCCCACTTATACACATTCGAAGTACAAAAAAATGTCAAGACAATTGTTCGTGGAAGCTAAGGGTAGTTTTTCCGAAATATGTACATGACTTGAAAACTAATCTTCTGAACTGCAAAAAAATCATGCTTATTTAGTGGAATTAAATACTTTTGCAGATCTTCATGTAAATAAAATAATTTATGCGCGAGAAAACATTTAATTAATGATAAATCGGTTTTAATTCGAGGTTTTGTCAAAAAGTGTTAAATGCAAAAGTTTTAGATTTGTTTATTATCTACAACTCCGCATTAAGTTGGAACCTTAACGATATTTTCCACTACGTCCTGGCCTGATTTTTATTTTTCAAAAAAATTATTTGCAATGCTCCAGATGGGTATAATCGCAATGGATAATTCGAATTAAAATTCAAGATAATCCAATTACATCATTCTAATTTTTAAAAATGCCTGAAGTCAGTTTGGTATTACGACAGTAGTCTTCGGTAGCGAAGAACGTAACGGATTAATTTATATAGGAGATTAGTCTTTAATTTAATTTAATTAAATTTTAAAGAAGCCTCTGAAAGATGCTGTTTTTTTTTATAAAAAAATGTTTTCTATTATCTTTTTGAAGCAACTTTTTCTTAGAACATCTACGGCTTCAGTTTTTAGAGTTAACATAATAACATTTTCCGCTGGATGTTGGATTTGTTTGACGTGTAAATATGTCGTGTTTCCAAGAACTACCAAAAAAAGGTGAATTTGAGAAGAGTAGGGATGTCTAATGGTATGAAAATGTACATTAATGTATTATGTATTTTTCTACTGATGCGAGGTTCGAAAAATGTAGTAACATTTTTTAAATATTTCTAGAAATAAACGAGCTAAGGGAGAAAGTTGAAATCAGCTATTTTTCAGTTTTACCGTGTAGCTCAGGAACAAATCATTATTTAGAAAAAAAATAAAATAAATGTTTTTCTTAAAAATCGAGTTCATAACACATAACGTTTCTTGGTTACCACCACGGTTTCCGAAATAACTCATAAAAATGGCCAATTTTGCCCACCATGTGTACATTCAAACGCAGAACCAACTGAAATAATTTTTGTCGTGGATGAATGTCTACAAAACTGTTTTTGCTTTGTGCTTTGTGTGATAATATAGTTCTTGTTTCCATAGCCTACTACACATTTTATATCTTCTTTTGAAGTATTACGGCAACAAAAGGAGAAAAACATACAATAGTTATATGGTAAAATTCAGAAAAAAATAAGGATTTTAAAAGGCCCACAGTCAACTATGATTACCATTTAAAAAAACACTTGTTTATTTTTTATCTCGTAAATCAAGTTGACTATGACGAGTTCTAGTTTATTGAACTCAACGCAAAAAGTTCTACCAAAGACAATTTTAACTTTTTTTCTCATTTAAGCAGTTTACGAATTACATGATAATTAAAAAAGTGTTGATTTCTTGCGTTTTCAGGATATTTCAGGAAGCAAGTCGGGTACCTAAATTTTGAAAACGGTAATGAATAGGCAATCGAATTATGCCCAATTTTGCCCATTTAACGGATTCTCTATCTTTAAAAATGTAAAAGTTACCTATACAAAGATTCAGAGAATGGCCACCCTGTATATTGTAATAGAACCTATAACTAGGACAATAGCAAATTGTTAGAATAACAACTTAAGCCAAGCAATTGTGTCAAGGATTCTTGCGAAAACTGAAAACTACCTTCCAAATTAACAAGATTCAGCTGTATCAAGAAATTTTCTATAACGATTTTGAAAAGCTCGTGGGAATTTGGTACAAAGATAAAATTGCAGTTAACGAACACGAGTATTTAGTCAACTTTCATATCGACACTTCGCTTCTGCGAAATTAAATGTTTCCTCTCCATATCAGTGTACTTTCAAATATAACTTGGAATGAAGTGTTCGCTCCAGGATATCACTGATGATATATTTGAGCCATTTGTGACAACATTCCTCAAAACATAAATAAGTAACAATAATTTTGACCCGTTTCGCAATTGATTCTTCAAATTCTAATAAACATACTTCAATCACTCGCTGGACAGAGAGAAATTGAAAATGCTTTCTGATGATATGTCGCCACCAGGTAATTCAAAAAAACATTATTGAGGTGCCTGGAGAGCATTTGGCAGGGGGTAGTGAGTTAATCATACTCTCAATTATCGTTCCCCATTATTTCATATTAGATTATTATGTACTAAGATATGCCTTTTTAAATGCGCTGTTGGTTAAGAGTTTTTAATTATTAGTTTGATTGAGACAATGTCATTACAAAACATACATTTTCAGATATAACCAGCCATGACAGAGATAGTGTATCCGGCTGGTTGTCGCCCTATTAGCGACGACCTCGGATCTGATGAACTGATTCGTCGTCTGAAAACCCTGGCACACACTCTACAAGCTATGGGACAAGATGATGGGGCATACAAGCAGTATGTGCCCTTAAGTGTACACTTGGCTGAAGAACAGTTTCTTAGCCATCCTTCCAGAGATGTCCAACTTCTAATTGGTATGCCGTTTTGAATTCAATCGCTTTGTGTTTATTTACTGTAATTAGGAACGTAGCTTTGTTTGGGAAACCCAGCCTGTTCGGGAGTTTGGTATGCTTCTAATTTATGAGAGAGTCGATTGCTTAGTATTTTTGTTAGCAGTTTACATAGGTGCGACATTAGTGTTATAAGCCTATAGTTCTTCAGGTCTCTGTGGTTATCGTTTTTAAATATTAGCATTACTTTGGAAAACTGGAAAAGTTCCAGACATTGATTGAAAAGTATTCTAAGAATAGTAAAGAATAGTGAAGAAGTTTTTCTCCGCCCACTTTTATCATATCTATTAGCACTTCATCCATCCATGCTGCTTTATGGTTAATTTTTTTTCAATGTTGCTTTAATTTCGTATTTGCTGATCAGTGGGATGTCTTCGGTGTGGTGTCTTGTACTAAAAGCTCTGCGATAACTGAAACTGGTCGTCTTCCCGTAGGAACCTCCTCCCACATCAATTTCACCAATCTCTCATCCTGTACACATGACCTGCCCATCGTATTGTCTGGCCCTTGATTTCTTGTTCCACATCTCCATCCTTATACAATCTCCTAATTTCTGCATTGGATCTCATTCTATACTCATTCGTGGTAGTGCCGTGGTATGATCCGAATTTTTTTTTCAAAATCTTACGCTCAATCCGCCTGACTTTTTCTTCGTTCCCTTTTGCCATGGCTCACCTCTCACACCCATACGTCAGTATGGGTCGGACAATGTTTTTTTTCGATTTTCTCTTGATGTTTTTGTAATACTTTTCGATTTCATCAGATTATCTAGCGCGAACGTACATCGGCTTGTCGATTATATCCTACTTTTCATTTCCTCCGTGATATTGTTATCTGCGGTGTCTGCTGAAATTGAGGGTGCCGAATGTGATGTTTTTTACTCGGTTTGCGCACATATATTTCGTTTTTCCTTCGTCGTGGAAGCGAGATATGATCGTTGGTTGGAAGTGGAGAGTTCGGAGTTCGATATTGGAAAACAGTTGCGTGACCCAGTATCAGTTATTCGCTTGGATTCCAATGGGTTAGATTTTGCACGTGATTAGATGGGGACGTCCATGGTCCTTCTTAACTAAGGTTTCAACTAAAAGCTCTGCGATAACTGAAACTAACAATTAAAGGAACACTGATAAATGAAACGTKGATTCAGGTGATAATAGAGTTAAGTAATATTATACCAGTTAGCCAATGGTTCAGCTTACCTTTACGGCCATATAAAAAAACWKTTGATCTTAAGTCTTGAGAACTGAAAAAACTTTTAACCAAGTTTTGTTCATTAGTGTTGTTATTTTTTGGGCTTGTTTTTGGTTTTGTGATGTATATTTATAATTCACAGGAGGATAAAAACTGTGGTGAAATGCTTTTAGTATTGACACGATTATTAGAACGACTGGTAACGGTTTCAATACACATAACCGCCCCCGGCTAAAATCGGTCTTTCTGCTTTTGTGTTTACACTTGTATGGTATGGTTATAAAGTTTATAAATCTAAGCTTATTTTAATCTAGTCTACTTCCGTGCCTCTTCTCAAAGCGTTAACGGTGCCCGAGAGCGAGAAGAGTTTAAATTATTTGTTGTTCTTTCTAACTAATACTCTTTACGAAATGAGAAGTAGTACTGCTTTGCGTGTAGCAAGACGCCCTTAAAAAGTTAATATAGTTGCCATAGCTTGCACTCAAGTGGCATAGTCCATATATAAAAAATGAAATACTAACGCATCAGTTTCAAAGAAACTTTTTAATTGTTGTATATTGATTGTAATCTATCAATTTTTGAAAAGCTAAGTTCTGGGACAATTGAAACGGTACAAGACGTTTTTACTCAATACTCATATTCTATATATTTTTTGGCTTATTAATTTGAGATTGAAATTGCAAACAAATTAAATGTTGTATTTATTATATTTTATTCACTGATTTAAATGGGGGTAGTTCAAAAACATGAACTGGCGAACTGATGCTATTAAGGATTTTAAGCAGATACACATGCTTAAAGGTTTGTTTGCTGAAATAGATATATGTAGATGTTCTTTGAAATCATTCTAAATATGATTTTTTTAAAACTAACTCATAATTATTTGGTAGCTTGCTGTATCGCAGACGTCCTAAGAGTGTATGCTCCAGATGCACCGTATCAAGATCCAGAGCAAGTCAAAACCATATTTTTATTTTTGATAAATCAACTTTCTGGGCTGAAAGATCCCAAAGATCCAGCCTTCAAAAGGTATAGTTGCCGTTATGTAAAATATTTTGTTTTAATAGTTTATTGATTATCTGTTTTAGGTACTTTTATCTCTTGGAAAATCTAGCTTATGTGAAATCTTTTAATATGTGTTTTGACTTACAAGATTGTCAAGAAATATTTTGTGCTCTTTTTGACTTAATGTTTAAAATAGTTAATGATGAACACTCTGGTAGAGTCAAAAGTTTCATGTTGGATGTGTTATGCCCTCTTATTACTGAAAGCGACATGGTAAGTACTGTCACCTGTTAAATATAATTCTATGAAATATTGATTATTTCGGTTTTAGGTTGGTAATGATTTGCTGGACATCATTTTATTGAACATTGTGGAACCAAATAAAACCCAACATAAAAATGCTTATCTCTTAGCGAAAGAGCTTATTATTAAGACTTCAGAAACATTAGAACCATATATTCAAGCATTTTTCAACCAAGTCCTAATTTTAGGTATGTTTAACTACTGCATACGTCATTACATTTTATAATAAAATATTGATTTATAGGAAAAGAGGATCAAAATTTACAAATATCAAGTAAAGTTTATGACCTGATCTATGAGCTTAACCATATATGTCCTCAAATACTCGTATCCGTACTGCCACAGCTGGAATGTAAATTAAAAAGCGCACAAGATGGAGAACGCTTATCTGCTGTGGCTCTTTTAGCAAAGATGTTTAGCGAGAAAGACTCAGAGTTGCCAAGAAGGCACGGCCCTTTGTGGAGAGCATTTCTCGGAAGGTAATATTTGTCGAAATGATCTCGATACGATTATTGTATGATATTGTATTGTATGAGATTACGATTATTGATATTTTTAGATTCAATGATATATCTGTAGCGATTAGAACAAAGTGCGTGCAGTATTCGATGCACTTCTTATTAAACCATCCCGATTTACGGAAAGATATTACTGAAACACTTAAGATGAGGCAACATGATTCTGATGAACATGTTAGATATCAGGTAAGACTAGCTATCAAGTTTTATTTGGAATTATTCTAAAATCTATATGTTGCATCTTAGGTAGTGATGGCTATAGTTACAACGGCGAAAAACGATTTTCAAGTAGTTTCCGACTCTGAGGACCTATTAGAATTTGTAAAAGAGCGGACTCTTGATAAAAAATTCAAAATTCGAAAAGAAGCTATGGCTGGCTTGGCATTGATCTATAAAAAACATTTGAGCGATCCTGACGTTCCAAATGCTACCAAGAAAGCCGTCACTTGGATTAAGGATAAAATATTACATGGGTATTATATGGCTGGAATGGAAGATAAGTTATTAGTTGAAAGGTACTGTGTAATCGCTTCTATATACATATTTTTTTATCATATTTTTTTAAAGGTTACTGAATACTTGCCTAGTTCCTTATCAACTTCCTCCAGCGGAGCGTATGAGGAAATTATATCATTTATTAGGTACAGTAGATGAACATGCTACCAAAGCATTTATGGAACTACAGAAAAATCAGCTGTGCGTACGAAAACTGGTAAGCGCCTAAATGTTTTCTAAAAATTATTTTACTTCTAATTCTTTTTTCCATCCAACTAAAAATGTAGGTTATAGAATGGCTGGATTTACATAGGAAACTGGCTTCTGTTCCCAGTAGTGAGACTCAGAAAGAGATTGCTAACAAAGTACAGGCTTTATCTCGTTGCCTACCGGAACCTGTTAAAGCTCACGAATTTTTAAGTAAATTTAGCACCCATTTACGGTCAGTTGGTTAAGAACAATATATGTATTTGACGTTTAATTAAATGCTTTTTTTCTTTAAATATGTGTAGAAGAGACCAAGATCTCATGGAGAAGTTTGAGACTGTAGCAAGGCCAACAGTAAGTTGCAAAGATTGTTCAGAAGCTACCGCCGCTGTATTAAAAAAGTTGGGGCCGCCAGTGATGACGAACCTTTATTATAACATGGTGAAGATGTTGCTGGAACGTATTAGCTCCGTCATGATCGACCACGAGGCCTTGGGTATTTTAATAGGGTAAATACCACAGAAATGTTAGAATTATCATCAAATTGTGCTGTTGGGTTTTAAAGAGAATTAATAACTAAAACTGTCCCTGTTCGCGCAGAAGCCAGATCTTCTTACTCTGCGYAAATGTGCCTCTCATTTGCTTTACTTTTCGGCGCAATGTGCAAAAATAAATATAATTGCGAAAMAAAGTCTACAACCAACATAAAAGTGCAAGAGATAATTCGTTACTAACACGAAACAAGTTAGTAAATCTGTTTTGATTTGCAAAGTTTAAATAGGAAATAGAAATAAATCCGTTGTAATTTAAAATACTCAAAAACCTTCGGTAATACACTTAAAATGTTAAAGTAATTAAATGTAAATTATTTCAGATATGTGGCCGACTGCCTGAGAGGTGGTAATTCGATTGAAGAAATCGGACTAAATGCGGCCACTGCCGGCGATAGAGGTCTGAAGCTTTTGGTGATGTTGAGCGTAGTGTTTCCTTCGCATTTCCACTATACTGATATATTGGAATATCTGATGGACTTACTAAGATTGGACGACGTTAACGTTGCTCCATTAGTGTTAAACGTTTTCACGTTTTTGGGAAAATATAAGTGTTTATGTAAGTTCGAGTCTTTCACTCGAAAGCAAAGAGATTATGTTATAAAAAATTTCAGATGATCAATTTGCCGATGTCATGAATAGTCTGGCACCAATCTGTAAAGATTTGGCATGTTCTGGTACGCCTAAGCAAGCGAAAGGGGCGGTCCATTGCATACATAAAAACATGCCACCTCTGCACGATGAAATTTTCGCTCAGATTTTGGAATCCGTTAAAGAGAACTTGGTACCTGAATCGCCAAATTATAGAACTGCCATTGTTACTCTGGGACATATAGCATTTACATTCCCAGATAAATATAAGGTGCCCATTAAGAATATAGTTTCGAGAAAGGTAAGATTTGTGTTCAGTTTACTTACAATATGTGACTTACTGATTTTGTAGATTGTAAAAGACTTACTAGTAAAGGATCCCAGAGAAAAGAAAGATGAAGAGGATTATACAAGCGGTTGCTTAAATGATAGCGATTCGTGGTGTGCAGAGGATGATTTACCCGAAGATACTCGATGCAAATTAGAAGGTCTAAAAGCAATGGCTAGGTGGCTTCTAGGTAATAATCAGTTTATATTCTCATCAAGTAGTCTTATGATTCGATGTTTTACATTTGATATAGGTTTAAAACAGGACAACGCCTCTGCTCAAAAAACATTCAGAATGCTGAATGCTTTCATACTACATAAAGGCGATTTGTTACAGAGTGGAAGACTTTCAAAAGCCGAAATGTCTTGGCTCAGATTAGCTGCTGGTTGTGCTATGTTAAAGGTATTGGTTATTTATATATATGCTCATTCAAAATTCGCATATTTGTAGAATTTCTGATTTACTTTCCTGACTGTGTGCACTTCAATGGGGATATTGGTATTTCATGATGTTACCAACCAATGTTGACCAATTGTCAACAATATAGGTACACCAACTTACAACTTCTCAAAGTTCCTCTCCACAATTCTAAGAAATGTCTTGTAAACTTGTCTGTGTAACAATGGGTTCGCCCATATCAGCAACAATTGCAAACCTTGTTATGGAAAGCTTGGAGAAAAATATAATAACAAGCCTAAATTATAAACCAACTTTCTTTAAACGTTATGTGGATGATTACTTAATGTTTACCCAAAGATAAAATTCAATATACCCTACATTAATTCAACAATTTTCACGACACTATAAAATTTACAATAGAAAAGGATACAAAATTAATCAATACATTTTTTAGACATTATGATGATTCCGGTGAAATAAAAGCAAATTGGTATACAAAAGAAGTTTGGTCCGGAAGATATCTAAACTATAATTCATATGCACCCCAAAAATATAAAAAAAACTGTAATAACTTCACTTACAGATAGAGTTATAAAATTATCACACCCAAATTACCGACAAGAAAATTTAAAAAAATCAGAAAAATATTACTGAATAATAACTACCCAAAAATTTTTTCTGAGCCAATAATAAAGCGAAGAATTAACAAAATTTACAATTCAACTAAATATAACAATAATGAGGAAAGAGGAAACAATGCATATACAGCGTGTTTGATAAGTAGATACATTCTTTGCAAGGGGTGATAGTGCAAGTAAATTTGGTAATATTTCGTTAATAGGCCAGGTTCCGAAAACCATTAGTTTCCGATCTACAGGGTGTTAAAGTTTTAATTTAAAAAAAATGATATTTATTAATATTTCGGAAACCGCTTGGAATGATATAATGAAATTTGACAGGTTTAGTCAACTAAGAACAATACACGTTCTGTGATGAAAATGTTGTTTCTATCTTTTCCAGTGGTGTGGGTACAGGCACGTCTGTAGATAATTTTTAATATAAAAATGTTACGCCATTGATTTTTCTAAAAATAAATAATATGTGTCAAGTTCCTGTTCAATTTGGAAGAGAAAAGGTCTTTTGACTTTTTTTCTACGACGTCCCGTTTGCGAGTTTTACAAACAAATTAAAATCGATTTATTACATAGCTTAATCGGGTTGTAGTTAAGTATGGTTTAGTATAAAGACAGCAAAAATTGCGCAGTTAGATCGTATCAATTTTATTACAAAAATTATTACTAGCGTCAGTTGACATCAGTCTTAGAGTTTCTTTATTTGTTTTTTACCTATTAGATAATTTACCTGCTAATTAAAATTTTACTTATTCTTCGTATTGAAATGAGCACCAAGGTTACTTTGATACGGAAAAAAATTATGTTATTCATTAATTCTTAACTACTTAAGGTCTTGCTCAAAATGAAGGCCCCTTCTCTAACGCATGCATGTGCCTGCCTTCTTACTTCTGTCCGGGTTACCCTGACCGAAAATGTATGTCTAAGTGTAATAGCGGCATCTGTAATGCGCTGTTTCCCATACCTGAAAGTCTAACGGAGTTATATCTGGGCTTCTAGCAGGCCATAATATGGGGCGTCCTCTCCCCATCCATCGATTAGGAAAACGCTGATCAAGGTACTCCCTTACAGTTTGCTCCTACGTGAATTTGCCTACCTTGTACTCTTCCTGACTCACTGACCCTTCGATAGGTGTTTGCAAAGACACGGATATTTGGAAGCCGCCACTATTTCTGTCGCAAAGTCCATAAATGTAAAGAATATCTGCGTATTCAGCATTGGAAAACTCAGCAATTTCAACCAATAAAGTTTTCAACCTATGTGAACTTACTAGAAATTACATAAATCGCAAAAAGAAGGTGACACCTAAGTTACTCAGACACTCGAAATGACAGTAATTATTACTTTTGTTAATCAGTGACAAAAACTAGTGCAGAGTCAACTTTTTAATAAAAACTCGATTACGCTGTGCAATAAATCGATTTTAATTTGTTTACTCGTAAACGGGACGTACAGACGTCCCTGTACCCACACCACTGGAAAATATAGAAACAACATTTTCATCACAGAACGTGTATTGTTCTTAGTTGACTGTCAAATTTCATTATAATATTCCAAGCGGTTTTCAAAATATTAATAAATATCTTTTTTTTTAAATTAAAAATTTAACACCCTGTAGATCGGAAACTAATGGTTTTCGGAACCTGGCCTATTAACGAAATATATCCAAATTTAATTGCACTATCACCCCCTGCAAGGAATGCATCTACTTACCAAACACCCTGTATATCACTACCATATATTCTAGAAATCAATAAAAAAATATCAAAAATACTAAAGCCACACATTAAAATTGCGGAAAAACAAAAAACACCTTATCAACGGAATGTTTCCCAAAGCTAAAAAAACTGACAAAATGATAGTGTTTAGAATGTGATAATACATATATAGGACAAACTAAACAATATTTAAAAAGGAGAATGTACAAACATAAATATAGGCTGAGAAATACTAGTGAAAATAAAACAGCATTAACACAACATGCACACCAAATGTTGCATAATTTTAAATTTAACAACACAGATATATTAGTTAGGGAAGCAAATTATCATAAAAGAAAAATCCAAGAAATGATAAAATTAAAAAACATGCAAAAGCAGTAAGTTTCAGATCGGATACGACAACCTTAGCAACATTTACCAAACCCTAATTAAGCCATAAGTATGGAACACCCAGTACCCTAGTGAAAAAGTAAAACTGTTTCTGCTTATCTCAATGCATACATGCAATTCTCGCAAATATAGAAACTATTTCAGACAAATTTAAAGTTTCAAGAAGCCAAAGACCTAAAATAACGTTGATTTTCACCAATCACGAGGTAAATTTTTCCTTAAAATCTGCTTAAAAGTACTTGGTAAATTTGTCAAGTTTTATTTTCTTCAATATGTAAAGAGACTACTCTATTTTTGCTTGTACGTATTAATTATTTGCGAAATGTTAGTATGGTTTTGTTCAAAAATTCAGGTTTTTTTTTTCAAATATTTCAGTATTACAGTCTCACCAGAGTAATTACGTTAGCTTTGAATCGTTTTTCATAAATTTTCATTACAAGGAATTTGTGTTATATTTCCCGCATTTTAAAAATATTTATGCTTTAATCTACACCTGTCTACCCATTACCAGGTTTGTGAACAGAAAGGAGTAGGCGATCAATACACAGCAGAACAATTTTACAATTTATCCCAATTGATGTGCGATGATGTCAAGCAAGTTAGAGAATTGTTCGCCAGTAAGCTGCATAAAGGGTTAAACAAAGGTAACAAAATTGACAAACGAAACACGTTAGTTCTTTGATTAATGTAAGTTTTTTTAATAGGTTTGACCAATAAGTGCCTTCCCTTAGATTTCATGGGATATTACGCCTTAGCAGGACGTGAACCTGAAAGTCGTTTGCGTACGCTTATTAGAAATTACATGATTAATGATATAAACAGGTAAAACTTTGTATAACTCGCAAAAATTAAATTCTATATGCGAGCATTTAATTTTCAGACGAAGAGACTATGTAAAAACTATTACAATGGGGAATTCAAATGCAGAAAGCAAAGCAATGCAGCAGCTTCCTCACATCTTGCCTGATTATATGCTAGTGTTTGCTATTCCAGTACTAGCACATGAACCGAGATTAACGAGGTACGTTTCAGTGGCAAATTATTTGTAATTGTGTGTAATCCAAAAAAGTGATAGTTTTCGAGGTCATTTTTGGTCAGGTTTGAAACTGATGATTTTTTCTGGGTTTTAAGCCGTCGCGAATTAGACTTCCTTTCTAACGTTTCGCCAGCACGAATAGCTTGCCTCTTCAGAGCTATTTTGTTCGAAAGCTTACATCAGCGCAGCACGCACAGGTGGCTCCCAAAATGTCTGGAAGAAATTCTAATTCAGGACGTGATAAAAATGTATACAATTTATAAAATCATACCGTTTTTTGCGGTTTTTAAAAATATTTTTGATCCGAATATTATATTTAATAGTAGTAATTGATGGCGTGATTTTTTTTTCGCAGTAGATGTTATTATTTCGCTGTGTCGCGCGTCAAGTATACGTAGCGATCCATGAAAGCTACACCACGAAAGTCAAACTTTTTAAAGTTATTTTTAAAACAAATATTTGAAGAGATATTTTTATCAAATCTATCATCCATATCAAGATAATTGTTTCCATTGGTTGTGGATGAAGTACAATGTAACAGTCGGTTTTAATTGCCATGTAGATCTAGCGGCTCATTCGGGAATAATGGCTAAAATGAATGAATAGACACACATGATATATTCAATATGATGTACTTTAGGTGGGATAATGTGGCAGAACTTCAAGTAGCACAGCAATGTCTTTGGTTCATCTTGGAGCCTTTAGTCACTAAAAATGACTACTTCAGCTACGGCTTTTACAAAACACTGATAGAAAAAATGAAGAACCATAAAGATGCAGTTAGACCAGAGGACGATCATTTAAATTACGTAAGAAATTTTATTTTTCTATTAGTTTTTAGAATCTGTTTGACTACCCTAGAAAAAAATTACGATCAAATCTCAAATGCTTCCGTCAAGTACTTATATTTTGCAAATAGAAAGTATTGGTTGTGTAACTGCAAGACCCCTTACAGAATTGAAAAACTCGATACACAAGTATTATAATTCAACTTTTGAAAAGTCGATACAACCGAAATAACTCCAGATTATATGATGATGTTGGTGGTTTCAGGTGACTCTCTGAAATAATCCCAAAGTTAAATATTTTCTTGCAATATTAGTAGACAAAAAATAAAACATTTCACCGCCGTTTGTTTTTTAAGATCGATACACATTAGGGCTGGGTAGTTCATTGAATTTTCATGAGCTGGTGTATTGCTGCGCAATTGGCTTGGTGCGCCAACCCAACGCACCGGCGCAGTAACTCTAACTGTAAAACGAGCTCACATTATCTTGCAGTAAACTCATATAATGGTGGGTTTATACACGAGAATACTGATAAGGTTTAAGATATGAGAATAACGCTTTAGGTATAGCGCCACTTGGGGCAATATTATTTTATCTAGAGTCAATCAAATTGCAGCATAGCCTTAAGAAGCAATAAGGTTGTGTCTTTATGTCAACATCGAGGCAACATATCAAGAAAAGTTTATTTCATATAAAATTTGTACGTTCAAATGGATTTGCCGACTGAAGAAGTTGTAGCTCGTTTTGGTTTACTAATTTAGTTCATCTAACCTCACTACAAAATGCAAACACGATGTTTGGCAGTCACGTGGGATATTGGAATATAATTTCTCTTTGAAACTGCGCATGCTGCATTAGAATAACGCCTAAATCCCGTGTCCCATGCATCCGTTTGTACGATGGCACGAAAGCGTTTCTATTGGTTGGAGATCTGTCAATTCGTCCGTCGTCGTACCAAGTTAAAAAAAATTGCCTTTATACGATGGTCGTATGGTTTTTACCCTCACATTCATTGTTTATATATTATATTTTATGTTGATATTATTGTAAGTTTTAATAATGAAAAACTTTTACGACAAAATAAGATTAACAAGGGGCTTCTGTTTTCATTATTATGGATTAGGCACAACAGGGAAAGTTAAAATTTACAAAGATTTTGGGTTCCAGACCATATTTCGTAACATAAAATAAACGAATATTTCATGTGACATAATTGTTTTTTAATTGATTTGGGCCGATCCCTAAGTGGTATCCGAAAATCTCATAACCGCAGTCTTACGAATAAAAGAATTGAATACATTATGAGGTGTTTTGACCTTTTACCAGGCTTGGAGCCGAAGGACCACTTAGCTGTTGTTAGGAATTAAACTTGATGTTCTTAACTTAATGGCATGATCTTTATTTTACGTTTTCAGTGGCAAGACATTCCTTGAAATTATTTTAACATCGTTTTCTCGTTGCTATCAACATACACCTGGGTTTTTTATTAACGTGTAACTCGAACCTGTACAGATTATACATGTACCCACCTCACTTACTTGCACATCCCAATATTTATAGACCCGAGAAAAATCGTGTTTCATTTTCTGCTGCTATCTATTAACCGATAAACTCAAACACCTAAGCATACATTTTTTATAATTGTTATGTTTAAAATCTGCCGAGAATAGAAACTTCAAAAATAAAATGTTGAAAATAATTCTATTAGCAGCACAACGCTTCCAACAACTCAATGTTAGAAGAAATTGTACAAACTTTTATTTCTTGAAAATAAACTACCGTCGTTCGGGGTAAAGTCGGACGATTTTTTAAGTTTTTTCTTAATAAAAATTATAATTTTGGAGAGAAAATTTCTAACAAAGTAATTAAGTCTCCCGTGTCTCCTTTGTCGAATTCCATATCCGCCATTCCATGTCCTCCTTCACTCCTATGTGTGGGAGACAGACGCGCGACCCTTTATTAAGCTTTAAAAAGCGTTAGAAATGGTCTTAGCACCTAGTAAGAGGCGTATTCTTATTATGTTTCTCTTCTTGTGAAATTCCGCCATGTTTATTTATTCCGTTTTACTTATCGTGTAAGGTGGACTTTGGAATTTTATCATGTTCAGCAGCCTCTGTCTTCAACTTTTTCTGCTTTGTCGAATATCTTCAAGTGCTCTAGCCACGTTTTCTTTCGAACTCGACGACGAACTCAATTCAACTTTTTATTTTTAGTATTTTTTTGTGTGCAACAGTCTCTCTTAAAGTTTTCAAATTCCAAGAAAAAAATGAAATTTATAAAATCCTCACTCTCTGTTCTATGGCGACTTTATCCAGCGAAAATGTATACTACTGACACTCGGGACGTAATGAACGGGAATATGACGGTTGAGTACTTTTTTACGCGGTGCATCAAATCATCTTGACGAAAATATTAGCCAATAACGGTCTGTTCTAGTTCGCCCCCACACTCCGACTTCACCCCGAATGACCGGTACTCTTCGAAACATAGAAGTATTCAGAGCTATTGATGAATTGTTTATGGTTACAACTGTTCCATATGGGTAGTTTAATTTTTTGTCGGTTTGAGCTTAAAAATGTGTTGCCCAAAGCTGGACAAAATTGCGTGTTCTGCTGTTATTACCTGCAAATTCTATGAAAATATTTATTATTGTTACAGAAATTGTGGGCTTTATGTGACTTGACTACTGGCTTGCTGCTGACCAAGGCTATGAACTATGAGCTTAAAGATTTTCCTAGTGAAATTAGAATTCCTGCGATGTTGTTTGTCCCGCAAAAGAACTTCCAAAACAGCAGAGTGTTTCTACCACCGGAGCTCCAATATCAACCGAATAAAAAGCCGACGTTAACTCTGAGCAAGCCGAATAATGAGAATAAAGAACGGCTTTCCAAAAAATCTAAAGGCCAGAAAGCTGAAGGTTGCGGACCTTTGGGTACCGATGTTCAGGTAAATGTTTGTTGTCTTTTATTATTCTTAATTATTAGTTCATAATCTCGGTTTTTTGTATAATTCAACAATTTATTCCTCAAATTGTTGTTTTCAAATTCTATTGTTTTATGTTCTTTATAGGTGGATTAGCAACTATTGTTATTGTATATGTATATATATATATATTTTTTATAGCCGTCAGAGGCATCTGATACCAAAATAAAAGTCCCCGGATTGGAAGACACAGAAGAAGAAGAACCGCCTGCCAAAAGATTGCGTGAACGGATAAAAAACGATGAAGATGGAAAATGATGTACATACAATGAAAGTCTAAGTTAAGTTTAAAGGAGTTTAAGACAGTCGTAGTGTGAAGATCTCTTGTTATACTTTGATTGCCAACGACTTTTGCAAATACTAAATTTAACAACTGCATACCTAGCGATTTTGAAACAACTATCGGGAACCTCATATTGAGTCAATTATATCATCTATTGTACTTTACTTATGGATAATTTTTTATAGTTTTTAATTATACTTGCATTTTTGCAAATGCACTCAGTCACGCACGCCTTTTACAACCAATTTACACGTTTTTATTCAAATTTGTGCTCATTTAAGTAAGTGGTCAGGTCGTATTACCATTTTATAATTGTCTACTTTTTAAATAAAATTAGTTAATAAATCTGGCAAATTATTTTTTTTATGATTAAATGTTCAGCTTGGATGAGGGTAAACATAAACTACTACACATTTTGATTTGATTCATTGTAAGCCACAGGCAGTTTTTGTCTAAGTAAAAAATACTCTAATGGTAAAGACATGAAGAGAAGCAGTATCCAAATAAATGGCCCTATCAATGCAAGTTAAATAAGAGACCGCAATCAATTCCTTAGCACGTTAAAATATAATTTAAACAAATTTTTATTTCTATAAAATAACTGTAAATTAATGACTTAGATGTGCACCTGCTATAGAAAACGACTTAACTGCAAATGTTGTTGATTTGAGCAGTTATTATTTCTTAATTGAATTGTTGAAATTTTGAAATTTAATGGATTTGCTGAAAAGTGTAAAAAATAACCAACAAATTGTATTTTCTTTTGCTTTTTTTTCAAACCTGAAATCTAGGTTGTAAGAGAAAAGTTTTATTTTCAAACTTTTTGATTCAAGAAATATAGTTGCATCCGCTGCAGGAAACAATTGGTATTGGGTCATAAAAAAAGACTGTCAAATTTTCAGATTTCCGTGTTTTATATTATTATTTTCATTCAGATTTTAAAAAAGAGTAAAAGTTTGAAGTAAGAGTTTGAGTAAAATAAAACAACTTTTGTGACGGTCACTTTCACATGTTTTTTTGAAATAAATGTTCTAGGGGGGTCAACTTATGAGGAAACACCCTCTACATTAACATTGTAAGCAAAACGACAGATTTACTTTAGGAAAACAATTGTTTCCTGCAGCCAAATTTTGACAATCCCGTGTTTTATATTTTTATGTTAAATTCAAATAAAAAAAATGAGTAAAAAAAGTAAAAACAGATTTGGCGTTGGCCGCTTATATTTTTTTTTTAAATAAACGAGCTAGGGGGTGTCAACTTATGAGGAAACACCCTGTACATCTAGATGCCTCTTTTCAGTGATATACATGTCCTAAAATAATGTTCTTTTCATTAACTAATACAATAGAAAGAAGTAATTGACAGTTAAGGCAAAACACAAGAGTGTTGTTGATTGAAAATGGAGTTGGAAGTACTATTAATTATATTGAATTACATAACACTTTTGTGACACATTCATTTTTCACACAAATATTTTACTTTTTTTGTCAAAATTGCGTTTTATTTATGACTCCAAATCATATGGAATGCATAACAATACAACAACTTGAAACACCAAATTGAAATAATTTACAGTTAGGTCGTTTATCGTATGGGGGGCGATATGAATATTTCAACATATTTGTTCAATCTCAACCATAATGTAATGTATAAATTCCTTCACAGATACGAACTTATCAATTTGTAAATGTTTAGTGTTACTACTGCTGGGATTCGTATTCAAAGTCTTCAAATCAGAAAAATAAACCCCAACAATTTCCAAAATTATTAAGGTAATAAAAAAAGTACTGGAATACATCTTGCTGAAATTTTGTGTAAAATTGAAATCGAAATACTTGTGTTTGATAGTAACTTATTTACTCTTACAACCCATACGTCAATGCAGAGCGAATTGAAATTGTTAATGACTTACTACTACTAGTGGTTTACTTATCGATTTTAATTTGAGAATACATAAGTACATTTAAAAGATTTTTTAATTAAAAGAGACAAATTTGATCTAATTTTTTTATAAGAAAAATGTATCCCATCACGGAAAGTTACTGCTTAGTAAACGTATCAACTCAACGATCAATTAGAATGAAAACAACTAATAACGTTAAGGTTACGCATAATGCATTCGTTATAATGAGATGGCGTTTAATGTTACGAATAATGATATGTAACTAGATCTCTCCTAAGAAAAGCCAGTCTCCAGAGGAATTGTGACCATAACTATAACAGAAAACGGTTCACGTTAGAGCGAAACTTAACGACGAAAGTTTTTACTCTATTTGGTCTGAAGATCACGTATAATAAATAGGGACTTCACGTCATGGGACACCCTGTATATTTTAAACAGTATCAGTTGTCACTGACATTAAGAAAGGTAATTTTAAGGCGATAAATACAGATACCATATATGAGTTTCATTTACATCAATATAAAAATTGTCTATGCGAGGGTCGCATTGTACTTGCGAGGGTCGCATTGTACAATAATTTTATTGGCAATATAAATCTAGTATTTTATGGTTAGTTTTATGCTAGTTATTTATTGGTATGTTTTTGCGTTGCAGTTTTAAATCAACTGCAAAATCGTACAATGTTTTCCTAAGATAGATAGAAAACATTGTAACAGTATACAAGATATAAAATACTAAATACTATACAAGGTACCAAATAAATTTGTTCTTCGTAAAGGCAAAGACCATCCGCTCCACTATTAGGCATCAGTTCATTTAACGCCTCACGTATCAAGTTTTTGGAGTAAAAGTTGAATTGGTATCAGTGGGTTTGTCTTGAACTCCCAAGATATCATTCAGCATATCGTGCAACACAACATTCACAGCCTGACCATAATTTACCTTGTATACCCTGCATATGCACTATGCTATGGAAATATTTTAGGAGTTCCAGACAAGACTACGGATACCATTCAGCCTATCGTGCAACAAAACATTCAGAGCGTGACCTTGTATAGTACACACTATACAAAGATTTTCCAGTAGTATTCTTGGAGGCTTAAGAGTAAAGATAGGTCTAAAGCCATTATTTCTGGTCCATTGGTTTATTTAAGTAGTCAATTGCAATATAAAACGCACCGCAAAAATAACTTAATAACATCTGGCTCAAATGCATGTTAACTCCATAAAAAGGAGCCACGAAAATCTAACATTCTTCAAAAATGATAAAATGCTATCTTTTTCTTGACAAAATATCAGAAACATTTTATTTTCAACATACAATGATAAAATTATGGTTGAAAACTATATTTAATATATGCTATCAGTGTATTTCTTACGTACAAAAAAGTATTACCATTTTTATTACTGCATGCCGAAAATTTAATTATTTATCGTAATGGTCATACGTATATATTTATTTCGATAATCAGCAATTATAGGATACTTCCACACACTGTGTATTAAAACCTAAATCAGGTATGTTAGGATGAAACACCAATTTTGGCTAATAGTCAAAATATGTTTTCAAAACACGTTTAACACGTAATAAACCGTTTCTGCTTTGCACGATTACGAGACAGCGATGTCAAAGACACGAGCCATAATCCGTTGAGGCTGATTTTGGAAGTCAGTAATCAAATTCTTTAACAAAATAAAAGATGCGAACCTCATGTTCACACGCTGGACACATTTTTCGACTATTGGCCCAAATCCGTGGGTGATCATAACATCTACAGTTAATAAATGTATATGTAACGTGTCTAGTAATTTATATGTTAAAATTAATAATTTATTTCAACATTTTTCAATTAATGTAATATTCGATTCCAATGACAGTTAAATATCTGAATTGAATATTTGAACAGTTTCCAGCATGTGTTATTTAAAAGGTCATTGTTGCATCCAAGCAAAGTTATGCAAGAGATGTCTAGATTGCACTATTGCTAGGTTCCTGTATTGAGGATCTGTCGTGCTAGAATAAGATATAAGATGTTATTTTTCTATAATACGTACGAAGATGAAAAGGGAACAGGAATAATGATTGTTAAATGATTACTTTACATGTGAATAAAATCATTTGCTGTAATTATCAACTAATAGTTGCGCTACCATAATGCTATTACGGTTCGTTAAAGAAAAATCCAGAAATAAAATTAATTCATAAATAGAACCAAACAATAAGTGTATGTACTTCATATTTGATAGGTTAAGCATGCAACTCGTATTTTTTTTATTTGCCAACTAGACTTTTAAATACAAAAAATTAATTTACAGCCATATCGATAAAGCCTTGAAAAAATAATGAATGCGTATTTTTAGTTGCTTTATTCAGCATTGCATGATTTTCCAATAGTTTACTTCTACATTGTTTTAATATCAAATTAGGTTTGAAAAATGTTTTTCTATTTATCTTCTAAGATCTATTTACTTGTTAGATATTTGTTCTCGAAATCATATTGTATAAAGAACATGGCGATTGTAAAAAGGTCATATATTTGATTTATTTTTAGAATATTGTCTAAAGGTTGCTTTGATGCAGATAGTTACATTTACTAAGCAGACAAATGATCACGTTTAAAAGATGTAGAAATTAAATTTAAATATTTACTAGCAAACGGTGCTTTGCACAGTTGAATCTGCATCAAAGCAACTTCTTTAGAGCTTTTGCACCACCAAAACTTTAATTTGTGTGAGAAAAAATGATATACATATTCACTTTCTTTTAAAGCAGTTGACGTACTTTAATTTTAGTTGGATAGAACTACCGAAGAAATAAAGTATGCAGAAGGTAGTTTAGGTATTTTTTCTACTGCTGTAATAATTCAATTGTACAAAACTGTATTTTTAATGAATAAGGCATACGTAATAAACTCTTTGTTTACTTACTTTCTATAGTCCGATTCTATGCAAAGAATCACGYCGTTAGAGATAATCCTGGACGTAGAGTTTCTTTCACTTTAGTTTTAAACAGTTGCGACAATGTATTTGTCTGTATTTGCTTTTCGGTCAAAAAGCRCTATTTCTCGTCACACAACGATTCGGCTATATTTTATTTATCATCCGGAGCTTTCGAAGGGWTCAGTTGCTTCAGACTTTGGCATGGTACAATGTCTGAACAATATGAATGGTAATTAAAAGAAAAGATGATAGTCCGAAGACTGAAACTTACACTGCAACTATACAAGTTAAAAGTAAGCAAAAAAAYAAATACTCTCTTGARGATATTAATTCGCGCTTTAACCTCGGTAGCATACGGACGTACCAGTGCGAGCGTATATAAGAATAAGAATATACGAGCGTATATACGAATACCTAAGATATTCGCAAACTGCAAGGAATTTTGGTAGTTTTTTGGACAACCAATAATACCGGGTCTGTCCTAAAAGTAAAATGCATCCCGGGAGCTCACAGTCCGAATCGGACACGGCCTCCCAGGACGACGGCTTTAAAAAGCCAAAATCAAAGGAAAGGGGTAGAAAACCTGCCTCCTCACCAACAACACCTACCCAAGATCAGAAGAGGCCAGCACTGGAGATGCTGCATTCTGCAACTCGTTCAACTTCGGCCGAAACGGAGGCAATACCAATAACATCAACCACAGCTACAGTGACAAAACACCAACCAATACATCCAACATATAAATCAACATTCAGCCTAATTGCACCACCAACACTAACCAGAGTACAACTAGCGGTTAAATGGGAAGAAGTCAACAAAGACATCATTATCAAAAGAGAATCAACATTTGTAATCAAAACCAACGACGAAGCCAGCACGACAAAAGCTCTAGAGCGTCTCACCCAACAAGGCGTAGTTACGTCATATAAGATATACCCTAACACAACAACACCACCACTTTTGACCAACATAAAACGCAACATCACACCATCGTACCCAGTGGTGGCCACCGGTGTCGATCTGGACATAACAGACGATATGTTTTTGGACCACCTGCGAGATCTCCA